TTCTCTGCACTGGTCTTTTTCTGATCCCCTTTGATATCACAGAGGGCACCATCTCTTACAGCATACACCAAGTTTCCTATCATTGCTGGTGCTTAATATCAACAGTTCTGAATCCCTTGGTCCCAAAATTACTCATACTGCTGCTTTCCATTTCTGTGGAAGCCGCAGGAGTCATCCTTCTCTGAAAGTAAACTGCTGTCACAACCAGTGAGAGCCAATGATGAGTAGTTTTTGTTGTTTTTTTCAAAACTTGATACAGCAAAATCACCCTATGTCTCACAACCATCTCTGTCTTTCCACTCTGTAGTTTCCTTCATAGGATCTATCACAATTTCTAATTACATGTGTGTTTGCTTATTTTTTCTGGCCAATCCTACTAGATTTTAAACTTTAGAAGGGCAGAAACCATGTCTGTTTTATTTAGCAGTATGCAATCTGCCCTTAGCATAGTGCATGCACATGCTAGGCCTTCAATTAATAGCTACTTGTTAAACGACTATATGAACAAATGGCATTAGCAGTCATTTGTATTATATTACCTCCAAATTTATTACTTGTCAATTTATAATTTGGGGGCTGCTTTTTCTAAAACAAATAAAACATTAAAAACTTGATTGATGCTTTATGCATGCATGTCACCTTGAATTTATTTCTCTTTACTCTCCACCCAAATGTAACTATTACAATGGTTTTCATAATTTTTATCCCCATGAATTCCTTTTTCCTTTATGACTCATACACATCAGATATGTGCCAACCCGCTCCTCTTGAGGCATCAACTAATTTGAAAGCAAAGGCTGAGAGCCTAAGAAGCTACACAGAAGGCAACCGCTGAAAAGCTAAGAAACTGAGTACAGAAACAGGAGAAAAATTGAAACTCAGGCCTACAAAGTAGTGGGTCGTGGTAAACACCCCAAGCACACAGATATAGCGGGAAAGGTCTGGATCACAGGAGTAAGTGTGTATCAAATGTTGATCTGCTTTCAGTGGGCTCAGTCCCCTAACTGGGTTAAAGTCATATCTACAACCCTAAAACTCTACAGCCAGAAGAAAAATAAATCCTTCCTGGAGCGATACTAACATCATCCAGAGATTCACATTATATATACAATTTTTACATTCAAAAAGTCTTTCATTCAATTAAAAATAACTCGGCATTATAAGAGGTTACTATAATGGAATTTAGACTCATATGTTATCATAACTATAACTAATATATTTAAGAAATTAAATAACAAAATGAAGAAACTTGGTAGTAAACTAGAAAATACTAAAAGGATCAAACAGAAATTATAAAAACTGAAAACTACAAAAATATTAATAATAATATATGAATTTGACAGTAAGTTAGGTATAACTGAAGAGAGAAATAGTAAATGTGAAGATAATATCCAGAAGAAAATATCCAGAGTAAAGCTCAAGGAAACAAGAGATGGAAAATAAAGAATATAATATTTACCAAAATTAACTACACACGGGGTTGTAAAGCAAATCACAACAAATTTCACAAGACTGCAATCATTCATAATTTGTTCTTCAATCTTAGACTAATATAGCATAAAATAGCAACTACAAGATACTTAAAAAATCTCCAAGTAGTTGGAAGTTAAGAAATAAAGAATAAAATTATGAAATGCTTTCATTGGATTAATAATGAAACTATAATATCAATTTTTTTAGGATGTATCTAAAAGAGATTCCTTTAAAAAATATGCACCTTAAATACAAATGTTAAGAAAAAAAAGGCCAAAAATCAATCAGTACTTTTATTTTTTATGTCTTTTTTTTTTTTTTGAGACTGGCCGCACCGCGCTCAGCCAGTGAGCTGGTGACTGGCCACCCCTATATAGGATCCGAACCCTCAGCGGGAGTGCTGCTGCGCTCCCAGCGCCGCACTCTCTGAGAACCTTTCTTAAGAAGTTAGAAAAAAAACAACATACTAAACCCAAAGCAGAAAATAGGAAATAATGAAGAACAGAAATTGATGAAACAGAAGAGAAACACAGCTGTGTAATGACCACTAAAATTAAAATGTAGAATATTTTTATCACCCCCAAAGTTCCTTCATGCTCCTTTCTAGTCAATTGCTCTTCCCACTCTAAGCCTCTGGAAACCACTGTTATGTTTTTTGTTCCTATATTTTGCCTTTTTTTTCAGTAATATATTATAAATGGAATTAAACCATATGTGTGCTTAGAGTCTGGCTTCTTTCATTTAGAATAATTCATGTGCTATTCATCCACCCTGTTATATGATCAGTATTTATTCATTTGTATTGTTTAGTGGAATTCCGTTTTATGGATTTGTCACAGTTTATTTATCCTTTCATAAGCTGAAATAATTAATCATTAGCAGTTTTTGGTGGTTATGAAATAAGGCACATAAAGATTCATGTACAGCTTTTAGTATAAACACAAGTTTGCATTTCTCTTCGATAAATAACTAGGAATGAGACCGCTAGTAATATATATTTAACTTTATAAGAAATTGCCAAATTGTCTTCCAAAATGACTAATATTCTGCATTGTCGGAAACAATGTGCCAGAGTTCCAGCCCCTCTACATCCTTGTGTCTTTGCCAGCCCTGGTATTGTCAGGATTTTGTTTTTGTTTTGGGGGAATTTTTCTTTTAAGCTATTTTAATAGACATGTGGTGGTATCATACCATAATTTTAATTGTCAAGTACCTAATGATTAATGGTGTTGAACATACTTTCATGTGCTTATTTCCTATCTAATTTTCTCTTTTCTTAAGTGTCACTCAAATTATTTGCCTATTTTTTACTGGATAATTTTTTTTCTCTGTTATTGAGATTTGAGTGTAATTGGTATATTCTGGAAACAAATCCCTTTTCAAACATGTGCTTTGCAAACATTTTTTTCCCAGTCATAAATGATACTATTTTAATTTCAGTTTCCAATGGCTCATCACTAATACATAGAAATACATAACTTAGTAATTTGTGACCTTATATTTAGTAGCCTTTTTTTAGTAGTTTTTTGGATATTTTCTAAGCAGACAATCCAGGTGTTGGCAAATACAGAGTTTTATTTCTTCCTTTACTATCTATACACCTTTTGTTTCTTTTTTTTGCCTTTTTGCAGAATTTAGAAACTTTAGTACAATGTTTAATAGGAATTGTGAGAGTAAATATCCTTGCCTTGATCCTGATCTTAGTATAAGACTTAAATATGATATTAACAGTAAGTTCTTGTAGATTCTCTTTATAAGGTTTACTTTAATTCATAGTTTCCAAACGGTTTTTTTTTTTTTCTATCGTGAGTGAATGTTGAAGTTTGTCAAATACCTTTGCTTCATCTATTGAAATAATCATAAAATTTTTCTTCTTTAGTCTACTGATATGGTAAATTGCATTGATTCATTTTTGAATGTTAAACTAACTGCATTTTGGGGGATAAACCTCTCTTGGTCATGATTATTTTCCTTTTTACAATTGTGAGATTGAATTTGCTATTTTTTGTTGAAGATTTTGCATCTATGTTTTTGAGAGATATTATTCTGCAGTTTCTTTTTTGTGTAATGTCTTTGTTTTTTGCATCAGGGCACTGAAAAGTAAATTAATATGTTCTTATTTTATTATTGGTTCATTAAAATAATTAATCAGTGTTCCCCTTTTATGAGCTCAAAGCATTCTCATTATATCACATAACTTTGTTGCTGCATGTCTGTTACATAAAAATTAATATACTACAAATTATGTGATGTTAGTATCTATGCATAAAGGAAAGCTTTGAAATAAATTGTTTACCTAAGGTTATTTATATGTCAATAAGTTAAAATTTAATGTTTAAAACAAATTTGTATATATTCAGGTTGTATTAACTTGTTGATTATAATAAAGAGTCTGAGTTTAAATATTTGATAAATGTAAAGTTTCTGCATTTAAGTTTTAAAATATCAGCTTACATTATTAGACAAATAGATAGATGGCAATTGGTAAGGGACACTGATAAAACACACCCTGCTTTTGATGGATAGGTGGACCTGAATAGTTCTATGTGTGTCAACGATTCTTTCTTATTTGAGGTTGTATTGAAGTCATATTTACTTAGGTAACACTTTCTATCCCATACAGGATTATATACTACTCTTATATTACTCTTTTTTGATTTGGATCAAACAATAAAGATAAATGTGAGAGTTGTTTTTGTTCCCTGATATATAAATTTTTGTACGTGTGTGTGAGTGTTTAATGCATTATATGTATTTATGTATATTATATAATGTATAAATATATACATATTTTTTAGAACATAAAATACCTTCAGTCTTACATTATGGAGTGAGTGTACAGTGTAATGAAAGAACTTGTTCATCCTATTCACTGAGCTTGTATTACTAAGAGACTTATCAGGAAATTGAAAACACATGCAAACAGCACAGTCAGCAGCAGTAGGAATCTTATTTTTAGCCTAAGCTCGTTCAGTCTAAAACATAGACCTGCCTGTGACTTCTAGAGTTCTGATTAGTGGGTTTACCATGGGCCCTTTTACCAGAGGAAATGAGGAGTCTTTCTTGAAATAATTCTCTTTAAGCAAATAGAGAATAGAAGCGCTCAAGTTCGCTTCAAGGAAAACATCTAAGGGATGCATGTGAGGTGTGACTTCTTATTTTTGGTGTTATATTGATATCTTCTATTCAGCTTCATCTGACCTATCTTCATAATTGAGATCTTGAAAGATGAAGTGTTTGATAAAACTGAAGTGGCTCTTCAGACACACTCATCATAAGACATCCATTGTCACTAACATAATAAAGTCTATTTTTCCACCACTCAATATTTTTTTTTTATTACGACAGTCTGGTGTGTAGCTTTTTTCCCTACCTATGAAAGTTTACAAAGAGTAATTTTACAAATAAAAGTGTTTATGAACTATATAATAACTACTGTGATGTGTATATGTAAAATGAGGTATTTTGTTTTGTTTTTTAGGAATGTTCTTCTTTCTGATACACTAATGAGATGTGTTTGGTTTTAGATTTCCTCAAGAATTGAACATGGGAAAAATAAGTGCCGAAATTATGTGGACTCTTTTTGCTCTGGATATGAAATATGCATTAGAAGGTAATTACAAATATCTGTATTGAACTAGAATGCATGTTTTAGTTAAATTGTGATTTTGTGTTCTTGGGTATAAATGTAAGGAACTGATGCATTAAAACACTGATTACTGTGATTAGTTCACTTCCAAACTTATTTCCATATGGTAGGCAGATAAAGATCTCTAAGTACGTAAAAACCCTGAAGAAATATATACATTTTTAATCAGGTGGTCTATTTTGCAGTATCATAATAAGTATTTTACTTATGGTATAATGCTTAGATGCAGGAATATTTTATGGCAGTTCATTTATCAAAGCAGAACATATTGATGGAGTAAGTGAGTAGTATTAACCCAGATATTTGTCTACATGGACTTAGAAATAGCATTCATGGGCAAGCAGTTTAAAATCTGACCAAAGCTTACCCAAGGACAATGGCAAAGTGCTTTGCTAGAAACTCTACTCTCAATAAGTCCAAATAATGCAATGTAAAGCAAGAGAAATACAGCTGTAAGTTAAACACTTCTATAAATATTGTTTGGGCACCCATACTATGTTTAGAGTTAGGGATAGAAGCATAAGCCAGGTTTCTATCTTCTAGGAATACATAGCCTGGTAGAAAAATTTATTTGCACTTATTCAACAAATAGATATTGAGCCTATAGATACGAAATGACTATTGGTGCACTCAGTGTGGGGAATACAACAGTGAACAAGACTGCCATGGTCCTCTCCCTCAACAATATTATGGAGGAGAGCTGCAAGTTTGCAGACAGGTGCAATATAGAGTGATCAGGGCTAATGATAATAGAGTGTCTGGACGAGAAGCACCTACATCAGATTTGAGGCAAGGGGGCAAGGCAGTTTTTCCAAACGAACTTCCACTAAAGAAATGTCGTCTTAATGAAGACCCAAAAGAGAAGTAGGAGCAAGAGTAACTTTTGGTAGAGGGCAGAGTATTAACGATTAGAGTGCACATTTGAGAGGAGAGAACTGACCCAGTGAGCAAAGAGTAGCAAGAAATGAGTCTGGAGAAATTGGCAAGGACCAGCCCGCATACAGGGCCTTATGAGCCACAGTGAGAAGTTTGACTCTCTGCTAAGAGAAAGGAAGGATATTAAGAGTTTTTAGCAGAGGCATGTCTTGTTCAGGTTTGCAACTTAGAGAAAGCATTTTGACTGCAGTATGAAAGATAGGTTGGTAGGGTAAGAGTAGTTAAGAGTTTGTGCCCGTTGTGTCACTGTTTTTTAGCTTTGCTAAAATGTAAGCTTGCTGCCATGGGGCACAGAAGGAGCATTCACTCCCTATTTGGAAAAAAAACAAAACAAAACAAAGGTAGACAAGAGATTGCCCTGTCTGCTTTCCTGGCAAAGTCAGGGTTTCCCACCCACAAATAAAGAGGTTTATCTAATCTTTAAAATTACACCAGAACTGCTCAGAGATACAAACTCCTTATTCTGCAGTGAGATATTCCTTCTCCAGTGTATCAATGGCTCAGCCCACATCATTTTATACCAATTTATTTTGACCATTCCTTTGGGATCCAAAACTTCTCTTAATTCATACTGGAACCACTAGGCAAGTAAGTTTCTTCAGAGAGCATTGACTCCCCTAGGCCTGGCCCTGCTCTCCCCACCCTCCTTGAATGTCTATCAGACATCTCAAACTCCAGAGGATCAATACACTTTCTTAATCTCTGTCAAATATGCTTCTTCCCCCTGCTCCCTATTGCAGCTATTGGCACCACCATTCATCCAGTTACTTAAGCCAAGTGTGGAGGGGTTATCACGGATTCCTTTTTTGTCCTAACCACAAAGTCCATTTCTGTGTTAGGGCTTTTTTACCACCTTGTCTACTTCCTGAACTTCTCTCCACACTGATCTTCACGAGTAGCTGTGTAGAGCTCAGCTAATGTCACCCTCTCAGAGAGAATTTCCTTAACCATAGTATCTACAGTCACTGCCAGGAATAACTTTATTTTAATCACCTGCGTAGCAACAAATTATTATCTTTTATTCATTTATTTATGTTTGCTTGGTCATTTGATTGTTTACATGTCTTCCTCACCATAATGTAAATTTCTTGTCTTTGATTTTTACCAGCATACTTATATTGCCTAGAATGAGGCCTAGGAAATAGAAACTATTCAACAGCTACTCGTTGCATAAATAAATTAAAGACCTTACCAGTTAATCCCAACTCAATGGAGTAGTAGAAAGGGCAGTGGAGAAGACTTCCATTTATGATCTTCTTTTGCTGTGTGATCTTGGGAAAATTTGAAGAGGTCAACACCTTTGCATTTCATTGTCCTGACATATAAAATGAAAGGTTCTCATTGGATCAGTGGACTGGCAATGGGCAGAAAGGATCCTACTGCACTCCAGAGGAAGTGACTATGTGGGACCATTCTCCATGCATATTTGGTTGGGTAGAGCCTCTATCGTTGCTTACACAGAAACATTTGTGCAACTACTTAAATATTTTATTTTATCTTTACTTTAAAAATAAGTAGTAATGGGCCAGCCCGGTGGCGCACTGGAGAGTGCGCCGCCTGGGAGTGTGGTGGCGCTCCCGCCGAGGGTTCGGATCCCATGTGGAGACCGGTTCCTGCTCACTGGTTGAGCGCGGTGCGGGCGCAACACCGAGGGTTGCGATCCCATTGCTGGTCCCCAGTGAGGGCGCGACACCGAGGGTTGAGATCCCGTTACTGGTCAGTAAAAAAGACAAAAAGGAAAAAAAAAAAGGAGTAATTTTAGATAGACAGGTAAGTATAATATTCATGTGAAGAAATATA